ATGGGACTGGAGGAGATTATGCTAAGTGAAATAAGTCAAGCAGAGAAAGTCAATTATCATATGGTTTCACTTATTTGTGAATAAGTGAATAAAGAATAGCATGGAGGACATTAGAAGAAGGAAGGGAAAAATGAAGGGGGGTAATAGGAGGGAGAGATGAACCATGAGAGACTGTGGACTCGGAGCAAACTGAGAGTTTTAGAGGTGAGGGGGTTGGGGGGATGGGTTAACCCGGTGATGGGTATTAAGGAGGGCATGTGCTGCATAGAGCACTGGGTATTATACGGAAACAATGAATCGTGAAACACTACATCAAAAACTAATGATGTATTGTATGGTAACTAACATAACATAATAAAATAAAATTTTTAAAAAAAGAAAGAAAAAAGAAACATGTGATTTATGAGAAATGCAGCCCTCCTACTCAGGACATAAACGTCATTCCAATTATTCAGATTACATTACTCAACATTTTATAGTTTTCTTCATATAAGTCTTCAGACTTTTTCTATATATTCTTAGTTATTTTAGTTTTCAATTATTGTAAGTAGGAACTTTTAAAAAGCATTTTTAAAAAATACAACTTTATCATATACACATACATATCTCGATAAGGTTGGCTTTTGTAAATAACAATGAACACATCGTTTTTATAAATGTAAATGATACTCATTTAATTTCAATTTTACATTTCTGTTTATAAGTTTCTTACATTTTAAATATTTTTAAATATTTTCTTTACATTTATTTTCACCACTTATTGAAAACTTTTTTCAGAATGTAAAGGAAAACTGACAAATAAAGTAATTCCAAATTAGCATAGCATAAATTAATAAGCAAAGAGAAAAGTAACTTACCATCTCTGAACTAGAACTGAAGCAACTATCTGTTGGCCTTGGAGAGTAACTGGTAGACTGACTACTCTGTGAAGAATCAAGATCTGAAAATAAAGGTTTAATTGATGAAGAACTGTATTTGTTAATGCTCTATAAAATATGTACACAGGCAGAAGATATTTGCTGGTAAAATAAATTTAGCTGACATTCTACAGAGCACTTTGTTTTTTTTTAAAAGATTTTATTTATTTATTTGAGAGAGAGAGACATAGCAAGAGATGGAACACAAGCAAGGGGAGTGGGAGAAGGAGAAGCAGGCTTTCTGCTGAGCAGGGAGCCCTATGCGGGGCTTGATCCCAGGACCCTGGGATCATGACCTGAGAAGGCAGACGCTTAACGACTGAGCCACCCAAGCGCCCCTCTATAGGGCATTTTAAAGTGTGCAAAAACTAGTTAAAATCTTGCATACTTGGCAGCTTGTACTTCTGACAGGTATTATGAGTTTATTCTACATTCAAAACATTTGTATCTATAAGTAAAATAAGAGTATATAACATAAGGGAAGAAAGAATAAAGAAAACTGGATTGATTTTTTTTCCAATAGATGAACCATTTTTTATGAACAAATAATTTAAAGTGTCAACTGCAAGAAGGAAGAATAAGCCAAGTTTATTAAGTCCCAAGGGAACAGATATTTGCTAATCCAGTAAATGAAGATTCATCGTACAATCAAAGTTGTATGAAAAAAATCAATTTGAAGCATCCAGTATGATATTCTTCCATTATCTGCTTAATGTGTTCTCTTATGATTGCAAGTAAAGTTTAAAGATGCACCTGAGAAGTAGGTTATGACTCCCTATAATGTAAAAATACTACAGAGTGACAGTAGCTTCAATGACTCCTCTCCTTGTTTGTGAAAATGGGTTTGCTATCAAGAAAAGCACAAGGTAATGGAATGTGGAGCGGCAAACTCATATCAAATCACATGCCCTCCTGTATGCAAAAAACTATAAGTACTATCTATGCATGCCTCAGATCAGGACTAATGTTCTCTGAAACAGAATCTAACCATCAGTCAGCTGAGAGACAGGGAGAACTTAGCTGAACTCAGATACCCTTAGTTCATCATTCTAGAAGGAAATTTATATACCTGTAGATCAGGTTCTCCCCGATAGTAGAAAGCAGAGTACAGAAAAGTAAATGGTAGGATTTTACTAACACCATAATCTAAGAGCATTTCCCCTAGTAAGGTTCATTCACTTCATAGGTATAGTAAACCCAGAGTCATTAGAATAGAAGACAAATGTCTGTTGAAAGAATATCATACCTATAGCAGTGTAAGAAAAGACATGCAGATCGAAATGTCAATTCAGTTCAACACTTATTGAGTAATTACTTTATGTAAGGCACTGTAATTGTAGGGAAACATGACATGCCTATAGTGCTCAAAGTGTTCAGAATCTTTTAATGGAGAAAGACATGTTAATACTGTTTAAAAGAAAAAGTCACAAAATTAGGTGCAACAACAGAAGTCACAGAAGGTACAAAAGTAACAGAGAACTAAGTGTGGTAAGCTCAAAGAGAGAGTTGGGAACAGCTACAAAAAAAGCACAGCATAGGGGTGTCTGGCTGGCTCAGTTGGTTAGGCATCCAACTCTTGATTTCAGCTCAGGTCCTGATCTCAGGGTCGTGGGATCAAGCCCCACATTGGGCTCTGTGCTCAACATGGAGTCTGCTTGTCCCTCTCCCTCTACTCCTCCCTCCACTCATGCTCTAATACATAAATAAATGAAAAAAAATCTTTAAAAAAAAAAAAGAAAAAGCACAGTATAAAGAATAGGTTTTGAAAGATAAATAAACATTGTCCAGAGAGACAAGATGAAAAATAGCATATGGAGAAGAAGAAAAAGAAAGTATAAGGATACACTCTAATATTAAAGGAATTTGCATTTTAGATTATTTACCAAGGCATCTAACTGAGGATAGATTAAAGAAGGGTGAGACTGGATAAAAGCAGGTCAGTTAGAAAATTAACTCAATAAACTCGTCATGAAGTGATGAGGATCTGCGATAAAGCAGTGAAATTGGGGTGAAGAGGCAAGGGATGCAAATTTCAAGAAATCTTTCAAATAGCCTCAATTTTGACAAGTATACAGCTTCAAAATTCTTTGTGAATCTGATATATAACATTAATACCAAAACATAAGAAAGACTGCAAACACGCATACCTACACACATACTCTAAAGACAAATCTCACATTATCAATGTAAAAATATTATATAAACACTAAAATTTCAAATTTTAAATTAAAACAGGATATAGTAAAATAGAATAGCAAACAAAATTATAATACATCATAAATTGGTAGGATGTATTATAAAAATGCTAGGATGGTCCTATCACAAAATCCATTAGCAAAATTCACCATTTTAAAAGATCTATACCACCATGAGGTATCACACCTCACACCCATTAGAATGGCCAACCTATAAAAATTTAAAAACCCAGAAAATAGTTAAGTGTTGGCAAGGATGTAGAAAACTGAAACCCTTGTGCACTATAAGTGGGAATGTAAAATGATGTAGCTGCCATGGAAAACAGTATAAACGTTCCTCAGAAAGTTAAAACCAGAGGTAACATATGATCCAGCAATCCCATTTCTGGGTATATATCCAAAAGAATTGAAAACAGGACCCTGAAGAGATATTTGTGCACTCATGTTCATTACAGTTATTATTCACAATAGCCAAAAGGTGGAAGCAACCTAGATGTCTCCATACAAATGGATACAGAAAATGTGGTATATACATACAATGGAATATTATTCAGCACTAAAAGAGAAGGAAATCCTGCCATATACTATTGCATGAATGAACCTTGAGGATATTATGCTAAGTGAAATAAGCCAGTCACAAAAAGATAAATATTGCATAATTCCACTTATATACCTAAAATATTCAAACTCATAGGAACAGAAAGTTAAATGGTGGTTGCAGGGGCTGTGGGGGAAGGGGAGCAGAGGTGTGAAAATTGCTGGGAAGGTGAATTTTATGTTATGTGGTTTTTTGCCACAATAAAAAAAAATCTATGAAGAAAAATTAATAATCATTTTTAGAGATGCCAAGAATTACTCTTCCCCAAATTACTTATTTCCCCCAAAATCATTTCCTTAAAAAATTCTCAATAAAATAATCAACACACATGTGCCTAAGCTCAAAATCCAGAATCCTACTTAATATAAAAACATGAGATACATACCACACTAAAGCAGCAACAAAACAACAAAAGTACCTACAGATAAATCTAACAAGACACATGCAGTAATCTACTTAAAAACTTTAAAGTGGGGCACCTGGGTGGCTCAGTCGTTAAGCGTCTGCCTTCAGCTCAGGTCATGATCCCGGGGTCCTGGGATCGGGTCCCACATCGGGCTCCCTGCTCCACAGGAAGCCCGCTTCTCCCTCTCCCACTCCCCCTGCTGTGTTCCCTCTCTCGCTGTCTCCAAATAAAAATCTTAAAAAAAAAAAATTAAAATAAATAAAAACTTTAACATGCCTTAACGTCATTTAAACAAATATTAAAAATACAAAATTAGACTGAATCAACTAAAGAACATCCCCTGTTCTTAGATAGGCTAACATCATTAGGTTGACAATTCACACTTCATTAATATATACATTTAACATTTTCCTAATAAAAATTAAAACATTTCTCTGGAGTTAAACAAGTTGATTTTAAAGTTTATATGAAAAAATAAAAAAAAAAAAATAGCCAGAAAAAAACTTTTTTTTTTTAAAGCGTAAAGGGAGGTGTATCTCTTCTAGAAATTAAACATACTATAAAGTCATCATAATAAAAATAGTATGGTATTGGAACATGAAGATTAGGAAAGAGCAATGAAAAGTATAGAAAGCCCCAAAACAGACCCCAGTACATATAGAAAATTACTATATAAAAAAAGTGGTATCACAAGTACTTAGGGAAAAGATGCATTTTAAAAACCTGAAGAGAGAAATATCTCACACCTTAATTCAGGATAAACTCCAAATGGATTAAAGACCTAAATGTAAAAATATAAAATCATGCTAATATTAGAAGAAAATATAAGTGAATTCATTTATAATCTGGGAGTGTAGAGTCTTTCTAATTAAATCCAAAAGTATTAAAGGAAGAAATTGATAAAATTAACTACATAAAAAAATGTTAAGCCTTTTGCAAAAGCAGAAAACACCATAAGCAAAGTAAAAACAACATAAAATCCAATAATAAACTAGGAGAAAATATTTGTGATATATCACAAAGGCCTAAATCTCTTTAATATATATAGAGCTCTTCTTATATAAGAAAAAATGCCCCAAACTCAAAGACATGGGGCACCTGGGTGGCACAGTTGGTTGGGTGTCTGACTTTTGGTTTTGGCTTGGGTTGTGATCTCAGGGTCGTGGGAACTGAGACCCACACTGAGCTCTGTGCTCTGCGCAGAGTCTGCTTGGGTTTCTCTCTCCCTCTTTCTCTGCCCTTCCCTGCCTCAAATAAATAAATAAATCTTTTAAAAAAAACAAACCCTCAAAGACATGAATGGAGAGCTCACAGAAAAAAAAATGCAAATACAGCCACTGAACATTTTTAAAAGATTCTCAATTTCACTCATAGAAAGAGAAGTAAAAACTCAAATGTCTATCTATCTATCATTGTGAGATTCACAAAAAAATTTCTAAGCTAGACCACAACTCCTGTTGGTGAGTCTGTGGCATAAAAGGAGTATTTCTGGTAGGACTGCCAAATGGTATGACAGGGAATTTGGCAATAACTACAAAAAGCCGCAGTGTATTGGATGCCTGCGTGGCTCAGTCTGTTGGGCATCTGCCTCTTAATTTCGGCTCAGGTCCTGATTTCAGAATTGTGCATTCAGGGGCCGTGTCAGGCTTTACACTGGGCACAGAGCCTACTTAAAAAAAGAAGTTAAAAAAACCAATGTATCTCCCCTTTGACTCAGCAATCCCACTCCTAGAAATTACCCTACTTCCACAATTAAGCAACATATGCATAGTGTGGTTCACTGCAACATTATTTGTAAGAACAGAATACTGGAAACAACCCAAA